CTCTCACCATCAATATTCAGCATCATCTTCCACTGTGATGGCCTTATACTTTGATGAAAACCAAACCAAACCTCTCTACCACCCTCCAGGGGAATACTTGTCCTGTCTGGAGGGGAGAAGAAAGACCTCCCCACAGGAGTRTACTTCATGGAGGGAAGGTGACGTAAAACGACATCTAGTGCTTGTATTGTTTCAAATGGTATCTGGTTGCATACTCCTAGTAATGCTTGTTGTAGGGTATACATGCTCACTTGGGATACCCATTTGATTGTAACCTTTGGAATAGAATGAAATATATCTCAGTAGTTACCTTACCAAGATATAGTTTTTTTACACTCAGACATATAAAGTTCTCGTTCATAGTTTACCTGTCTTTTTTTATTTTTTCATGCAGCTTTTTTAGAGACAAAAATTGCTGCAAGTTGCACAAAACATGCACTTTTCTCATGTGCCATCCCCTCAACATCCCCTTCAMGTTTTTAATATACTTTTGTTGCACAAAAAGGTAGAACTCAGGCTTCTTCTTCTGCATCAATTTTCAGTGTGACATCTCGTGCAACTTGAACAATTTTTCGCAAGACAAGTTGCATGAAAAAAAGGCTAAGTGTGATGCTGCCTTAAATGCAATCATTATTTTCAAACCAATTTTGCCATACCTTGAATTTCTTGTCCTGGTTGCTCTCAGATGGTAAAACCACGTCAAATTCAGTCTTTGATAAAAACAGAGAACAATATCTTATTATAAGTTGAACTTGACTGATATCAAATCAAGAGTTACAGATACTTATTATATAGTGTTAATGCAAGCCCAGTACAAGCCATGCCAGTCTTATATGGGCCATATTATACGCATACTGACTTTGMTTCCTTTTGTTGTTTGTTTTATTATAGCAGAAAACACAAAAAAATAAAAGCCCATTCTGTCTACAATCAACCCCTTCATCGTAAACTTACAGGGCTTCTCCCAATAGGCAGTGCCTTCCTACAGTAAATATTCTTGCGCCCATCAAACACTGGCTTCAGATTTTGAAAAACYTGATGGTAGCTTTTAACCATCATTTCAATGACGTCACGGTTAACTCTACGAGGACACTTATCCGGACTGATTGACACATCGTAGTGGTGGATGTCGCTTTCTGGTAGAGTAACTGGTAGGAAGTTTGCAGTYAAAGAAATTTGCCGTCCTGTTGATCCATGGTTGGGTCGCTTTGGGGGATTGAAGGCTCCTCCACCAATCCGGCTCACTGAAATTTAATGGGGTATTATCAAGGATTTACTAYTAGATATAAAATAATGCCAATAAGCCCTGGTTCAGATCGATCTTGTTCCAAATCTAACATAATTACTTGCATGTTGGTCAGGCTAAAAGAAGTTTGCACTCCAAAGTAATTGACATTAACAGACATAGTACAAGTTAACCCCCGGGGGGTACTCGATCCCAACTAGGATGGGGGTGTGCCCCATGACCCTAAAAACCCTTACCCTATCCCAGTCCAATTTTTGGGATTTTACATACCCTACCCCAGACTAAAGGTACATTATTTTAGCACTGAAAGCGTGGCCTAGCAGATACGATCACAGGCAAAACTCAACCCTACCCCTATCCAAGACAAAAAACTACCCTATCCTAGACAAAAAACTACCCTATCCCAGACAAAAAGATTATCCTATCCCAGACAAAAAGACTACCCTATCCAAGACAAATGGGGAGAAAACAATACCCTATCCCAGACTAAAGGTATATTATTTTAGCACTGAAAGCGTGCCCTTGCAGATACGATCACAGGCAAAACTCAAAACTCCACCCTACCCCTATCCTAGACAAAAAAGGACCCTATCCCAGACAACAAGACTACCCTATCTCAGACAAATGGGCAGAAAACGATACCCTATCCCAGACTTCCAGACTTGTATCTCCCAAAAAAGGGACCCTATTGAACGGCACATACAAAAAAAGAAAATCTACCATGAATGTCAAAAAGTTTAGAGCAAGAAATGCCCATTTACTCAACTCCAGCAATCAGATTAAGTTAAAATATAATTTATATTTTATACAATTACAATTAAGTTAAAATATTTACATCTGAAATAGGCCTATAAGACTTACATTCACATGGGACCAGTCAATTGCTTAGAAACATTCAAGTTTCATCTGCAAATTAAAGATCAAACTATGCGAACTGTAAGAGCTGGATCCTCCAATACCAACACTTACACCCATACTGTGATCAGCCCCATGTAAACAGTCTGCAGTCTAATCTTCATCGTCCCTTATTTTCACAATTCTGTCATTTCAGGCTAAAATTGTTACATTTTATACTTTTTTGAGTGGAGATGATCCCAGTTTAGACATACATCGATCTTTTACTGCGTCTATAAATCTAATTGCTGAACAATATGGCAATTATGTTTATTACATTTGAAAACTATAAAAGACCGAAGACCTGAACTTGAATAGTTTCGAAAATATAAAAATATATTAAGTGGTTTTTATATAAAAAAGGAAGTAAAAATGTCACTGTAGACTTTGGAAATACAAAACTTCAAACAAAAGCGTTTTTTGTCAAACCAAATGCCTTTGTAGGTAATGTTTCAAAAAAGTCACGCAAATGGTAGAAATTTACATGAGAAAAGCGTATTGTACATTTTGACCCAAGYTACGGCTTCAAAAATATCTTAGAGCTTGGTTCGTATAAAGTTATATTTACAAACATGAAATCCAGCTTCACATGGATAAAATCAAATGTCATTTTACTCAGGTCGAGWCAAGTACAAGCATTATTTTGTCAGGTAATAGCCAACGCTACGACACGAAGCACAAGTTCAMAACAATAAAACGAATACTTATAATATTTCATATTAACAATCTGTACATATACTAAACAAATATACTAAAACAAAAGAATWTTAATCTTCATTTCACCATAAATTGCTTTTCTGGTAGAAAATACACGASAAAATATTCAACAATGATCATAAGATTACTGTCAGCTGGTTCTCAAAAGAAGAATCAAGTCACTGCCAGAAAACTTACTCATGGCAAAATATTTACCTTGCTCACTGCTAGCCATTTCACAGTGTCTTTAAAAGAGTTGAAAAATATTCTTCTTGRTTACATTGTGTACGATGAGAAGTTATAAAAGCGAGAAAAACGGCTATGTTGACGCGTAAAGCAAGGACGCCATCTTGAATCGTCTTAGCACAGGAGGCCCAATGCTTAGTGATGCGAAAAAGTGCGAGCACACCTACACCACGTTGCGTCGTAGTCCAGTCGTTGGCCCCTATTCTTTGCTCCGCTTTGAATTTTATCGACAAAATTTAAAGCGGAGCAAAGAATAGGGGCCAGCGACTGGACTAGTTGCGTCGCTTCATAAACACATTATTTCGCCCACAAATTATACGGTTTCTAGGCGATAAGACTTATTGAAGTTATCCCTCACCTTGRGGTTGGAAACCGCAGTTTCCAGTTTCATTACAAATGCCGACCTCTGGATCTACACTCTGCAGTTTCGCTACATTCATACTTTTCTTCATGGAGTAATGATTTAACAAATATTTCGTATGTGAGAAAAGTTCTTGGATGCAAGGCCCAAGTTAATAGAAATTTTATTATAAATAATATTATAAAAGTTAAGGAAACGAAACGTTTCGTTTCCTTAACTTTTATTATTACATGTTTTTCCAAACAACTACTTATCAATAATATTATACATGTAATTTTTTTCGAGTAGAAACTTTTTCAGTACAAAACCGCTTCTTCCCAATTTTRGTTGTCATCTTCTCCACTCAATCGTATGTTTTATCCAAAGAGAGGACGCCAGAGTATTTCTKTCTTCCTACACATGGTCTTTGTTTAACTAGTTGCATGTCAATKCAGTTAGGCCAGTTACCAAAAGAACTGAAGTGATAGTACATTGTTCGAAGCGCGAAAACGTATCATTCCGCTGTCTTCAGTACAACTCCCATATGATCCACTCCACAACTCACTTCTTGTACAGAGCCTGGAAGTTCAACCTTACATGTAAAAGAAAATATCTAACGATAAGACAGTAGGTTGCAATATAACTATAGTGTGAACAACGTTGATGTGACCAATGAGACTGCTGGTAAAGGAAGATAGTCCTTCAACGGAGCCATATGCCCGAGTACGAAGAGAACACTGAATGATCAATGCGTCAGTTCTTCGTGTCCTTCTAAGACACAAAATTTAAGGATGGATCCAGGGAACAGAGTGAATATATCGGCCAGTCTTTTCCTATTGCCATAATCCCCCACCCACCTCTCTACCCAAAACCTTTGCCTCATGTTGCTATTCCATCTCTACATCTAGTGTCTTACGCGTTTTGGTATCCATTGGTCGAGTGTTTGTCCAACTCCAAGCCTTCCAAAACTGCCTCTTCCCCATACAAACAATTCTCCTGAATCTGAAAAGAAATTCACACTCTCTTTATCTAAATAGCAGCGTGATAATATAATGTGGAATGCCTGGTTGTCTTGTGCTTCTGAAGAATTTGACAATATKGGGCTTCGGTATAAAAACAAAATTGGAAGGGAAGGCGGTTTTTAAAACACATCAGAAATCTTTTACCTGTTACTATGGCAGCATGATCAAGACCACAATGCACTTGGGCTATTTTATCATCTAAGTCATCAAACGCCTTGATTCGTTGTGGTAGTTTACTAGATATTATCTCAGGGCCACACCCAAGTACTCCATAACCCCATGTGTATGCCACGCCCTCCTCTGTTAGGGTGAAACAACAATACCACAAAATACATTATGTATAGTTATGAGATTATTATATTCCAATTTTGTTTTATAAGCCTGAACTATKYWTACCTGTTACCAAAACACAAAATGAACCAGCAGCTGCCACATGTTTGACCACGCCCAGCTCACATAGAATAGCTGCCTTTGTTGCTACAGAAATCTATAGACAGATAGTAGAGTGGATTTTGTATGAGTGGGAAACGGACGGTACTGTACTGTGACCGTAATCGTACTGTAATTGGTTCACCAAAATTTTCAAGGCCAGGTCCAGTAACCGTGCGGTAACGGTTTCCCACTCATACGAAATCTGCTCTAGTAAGCATAGGTGACTGCTACCTTTGCCTCCCCCTCCCCCCAATACACACACCCCTTCCTCCCTCCAATATTCCAATTTCAAGTTCTGGTTTGCTCTGTGCTAGCCTCAAAACCAAGCAACATATTCTTTTGTTTCATTGATAGCCCGAGAAAACTCATGGAATTTGAAAAGAAAGACAATAGAATTGATTGGAAATCTCACACTTTTATTCTCACAATTATGATTATTTTTCGCACAAATGAGGCTAACACAGAGCATTAGAGAATTTGAAACTGGAGTATTCTGTATAGCATGATAGAAATTGTACGATTGACAATACAGTGAGTGCCAGCTAGCACAGCAGTGACATTGTATTGAGTTATATCTTTTGTTTATAAATTTTTGATCAAGAATTATTGTGATCTTTACTTGTTGGTCTTGGGTGTCTAGGCCAAGTTGATTGTACTCCGAATTCCCCCAAGAAAATACCTCTCCATGATCTAAATGAAAAACATTCAAAAATTCAGGGTCAATATACATACAGATAAATAAATGTATGGGATAAATGGATGAAAAAATTGATGTTCGGATGAAAGAAAAAACAAAACAGTGAATAAAAGGGAAGGAGGATGAATGATCAGATTGGAAAATGGAAAGAATTCAAACTTACTTGAAAGAGCTAAACAACAATCAGCCGAGGAGGCAACATCTTTGATTACAACGCCATCAATTTCACTCTTGACTTGTTTTATACATGGCTCATCATCAAAGTGACCTTGCCCTTTATCGTCCATAGATAAAATATTAATGGCATTAAAAATACAAGATAAATTGCAGCAATTGCAGAAAATTCATCAGAAAAAAGACAATTAAATTTTGTGTAAAATATTTATTGAGTCTAGCCTCCCCTGCAGTTGYCTCTTTCTGCTCTTCTTTCTACTTTTGGGCTTCCTGTTTTACTCATTGTCCTCAATAATTATGACCAAGGGAGACTATAAGGAAACCGAGGGATCCCAAAACGGCAAAATGGATTGTTGTCTGCAGAAGAGTCTATATTGAGCCAAAAATCCCTAAGGCTTGGTTTTTCACTACGACTTAAGACTAAGCCCAACACTAAAAGCAAGCCTAAACCCAAAGATAAATACAAATGTTGTGTGATAACGAAACACAAGTGCAATGAGTGCACCACAAGAAACAATCCTAGTGCCAGACCTTACATTATGTGTAGCGGACAATATGGCCACCTCCTGCAATGTGCTTGCAAGACTGGCACTAGTATTTTCATTGGTTGAGACACTGCATCTGCAATTGTGTTTATTTTTAACTGACAAAGCACTGAAGTGAGAGCAAACTCAGCCCCAAACTTAAGCACAAGAGAAGGAAACATTTTGATCCTTGTATTTGATCTGTTTGCATTAGTTTAGGCTTGCATTGGGTCGGTGTTTATGAGCCTTGTGCACTTGCGCTTAGCATTGCGCTTAGGTTTAAGTTTTAGTGAAAACCAGGCTTAATACCCATATATGTTGATTGTAAATTGTTTAAACACCTGTCTGTCCGTCTGCTCCCCAACCACAGGYAAACAATTTTCCTGTCTCAGAGAGAAACAATGTGTGATCCAGGCCACAAACAACCTAAACATGCAAAAATGTTCATTTGAAATTGTTTAATCTATAAAGTATTGATTTATGATATACAGTCTTGAAGGTGACAAATCTAAATGATTACATAATGTTGAAAAATAAAACACATTATATCACTGGCATGTATTGTCGTTTTGAATTCAGCACACCTTGGTAATTTTATCTTTTTCATCAGGAAGTTTAACCCTCTGGATATCCCGTACATAAGGAATGGTTTTATCTCCAATTCCACATTGACCTTGGGTGTTTCCTCCTAAAGCAAATACTAAAGCCACACAAAGATTATAAAATTTGTCAATCTTTTTACATATCTACCAACCACTCAGACCCAGTCACAAAATTACTTGAAAATCAATCAATCAACCACTCCACCAATCAATCAATCAATCATCATAAACTATCATTATCAATCAATCAATCACTCAGACCCAGTCGTCAAATTACTTGTAAATCAATCAATCAATCAATCAATCAATCACTCAATCAATCAATCAACTACACAGACCCAGTTGTCAAATCACTTGTAAATCAACCAATCAATCAATCAATCAATCAATCAATCAATCAATCACTCAATCAATCAATCACTCAATCAATCAATCAATCACACAGACCCAGTCGTCAAATCACTTGTCAATCAATCAATCGCATAATACCTCCTTCATTGTCTGTAAGGACCATTGTATGTGATCGACCACAGGATATCTGTTTTATACTGGTTTTCAAGTCGTGCACAGGTAAATCTACTTGATAAGGCTCCAGTATAACATCTATTGTAAACAGATCAAATATTACCTACCATCAATAACACCATATTATAAAGCCTTTTGCAAAAATTATGAGAATTGTCTAAATATCTAAATATCATAATATCCATATACATATATTGTCCGGAACACGCGGGTTTGCTAGAATAATTCATTGTTGACATCGAGAAAATGTTCAGAACTACGGATAAGTCTGTCGCCAAAAAAAAACTAAACAACAAAGACAAGGGACTAAGGGCATCGCGCGGGATCATGCACTTGATATTATGATATTTAGATATTTCAACAATTCTCATAATTTTTGCAAAAGGCTGTATATGGAGTAATAATCTAAGTACTTGGTCAGGTCAGACGATGAGTCTGCTACTGGTAACATTGTAACCCAGTACAACCTGCCTCATGGACGGGTCGTCGGCGTCTAAACCGGCTCCCCCACCAGTCTAACTGGTGAGGAGGGTGGCATGTACACCCAGCAGGACTAAAAACAAGACCTGTTAAAGGGCGAATGAGCTCATCTGAGCCACCGGCCATCATGCATGCTTCTTTATTCCTTGTATGTATTTTTTGTAGTGTCATTTATATTTTAATTTTTATTGTTGTAATTTTTAAGTTTGATGTCTTGGGACGGACTAAGAGCGGCAGCCATGAGGCGCCATCTTAAGCTCGCAGTCTACCATGACTCTGTCATTGTACTTGTTTGTAATTTGAAAGCGCTTAGAGCAGATTTGTATAAACGCTATATAAAAATAAAATTATTATTATTATTAATTATTTACTGGTAAGTCTATAATTTACCTGAAAAATTATTTCCACATTGATAMGATGTATTCAATCCACACATCCACAGTCTATTTCCTGTATTTTCTGACACCACTGTGAACCCATTGCCACATCCAATATGAGATACCTAGTCACATGATAATAAGAAAATGTGAGATAGCTCCTCCGTTTTGGGCTTCCTGTGTAAATAAAATACTTAGGGAATCTTTCAATTACCTCATTTTCTATTGGGAACTTAGATGGGGTGTTGTTAGCCACAGTAATTCTTCCYAGTTGGCCACCATCTTTGGCACCCCATACATATGCTAACGATGACTTGTGCTGTGCGTTGCTTGCTAAACAATAACAGCGTTGAAAACATGAACGCAGCGAAATGGGGATAAGTTAGTAGTTTGATGAGAATAGGAAACAAAGGAATAAGCTCATTGCTCATTCTGAAATTCAAAAGGGACTGTGTTGCAGTTTGAAACAATCAAGAAACAGCTCCCATAACAAGAGAGCTCATTCTATATTCTTTATTATTAAACTATTTTGTAGGTTTTAATAATATAATAAAAGTATAATACCTTGAAGAAGCTGAACCTTTTTATACAGATTTCCAAACCTTCCTCCGTGAAATATTCTCAGTAAACTGACACTTCTCAAGAACATCTAGAACTTGTGATATGAGAAGTAAACGCACGCTGAAAAACACAATTTATCCCAGGCGTTACTATCGTGGGAGGAAGAAGCATGGGTAACCCTCGCCGAAATGCATTCCGGTTGTGATACTTATCGATGAAATAGAATTTTAGTGAAATTTTGTAGTACGAAATATCCCGTTAAAATAGCAGGTATGTGGCAGATTTTTGTATAAATTTTATATGATGTTTCCTTGATAATAGTGCTATAAATATATGGTTTATCTTGATAATCAATGCGCAATTTGTAGATATGATTTGAAGTGAATATTTTGCACTGTAGCAAATCCATTGAATCACGCGAAAAATACGAAAGAATTGTGATTGATATTTTCATATTTGCTTTGTGTGCACTTTATTGTTATATAGCAAAGCATTTAGGCAATATTATCGATTCGTATTATACATGTTATGCACTAAACTAAATGCCCATAATAAATGGTAATATTCATTAAAAGTTTTCGATTCTAAATCAATCACATCGAATTGAAATGACAAGCAGCCTTTTTGTTTAGGATAAATATTTTTACAGCTTGAYAGATGAGATCCCCTTATTTTTGATTGTATATAAACATTTTTGAATAAATTATGGAAGAATGACAATTATCTTGTACAGAAATATCCTGAAAAATTTAAGGAAATTATTCTTGAAATGGGATAGAGAAGTTAGAACTATTAAGATAGAATATTCTCTTCTTTCTGGTCAGTTAATTTCCACCTCAAACTACTAATCTTTCCGAAGCTATGAAATGTAAAATAAAATTCTAAATATTAAATTATATAATAGAAAGAAGACTTCCATTTTACTTTCTCTTGATAAATCTGCAAGTCAAAGTAGTGTACATTAGCTGTTTTTATAGTCTCCTATCGCAGCCATTAGAGGCTCATTTGGTCACTCTCAATGAGCCTCGTAACGACTGYGAGAGGACACTATAGATTTTAATGTTGAGGCACACATGCTTTGTTCAACAGTAATGGCTCGAGGTCATCAGAAAATCCAGTCACAGCAAAAAGCACAAGAAAAGAAGGATAAGTTAAAAAAGGCTCAAGGTTCAGACCARAAGAAAGCGGCAAAGGCAGCATTAAAATATTCTTGTCCAGTTTGTAAAGTAAGGAAATTGATTGTACTTTGTTCATGTGATTTGTTCAAACTCCTTTTTCCTGGATAAAATTGCGAGCACAACTGAAAGGAGTTTGAGAGAGTTTATTTTTTATTTAATTTTATTTTTCAGTCACAAATGCCAGATCCCAAGACATTTAAACAACATTTTGAAAGCAAACATCCAAAGAATGAACTACCACCAGAACTTCAAGATATCTAGAGTAGAAATGATTTAAATATACACACAGCTTTACCTCAGGTGAGAATGATCAGTCCCTCTCTCCCTTCCCTAACCCTTATTTCAGAAGGTACGTGATACTTAAGCCTGAAATATGGGCAATTACGTACACCGACCTATACTCTTTGGTCATGTGCCCACGTCTCCTCTAAACCAACCAAATACATGGAAATTAACTGTCAAAGCAGGAAAATCTTGACCATCAAATTGTGGAACCAGAAGGGCAGAGTTTACTTTATAAAATTATAGTTCAATGTTGTAATAATGGTGAAAATTTCAACAGCAAATTTACAAAGTTAAGTTGTCATTTAATATTAAATCAATATGTTAATCAAAATTCTTTGATTTTTCTCCAGAAAACTCCATTGGATTCATTTGTATCACGACTCACACACTTACAACTACACACACCCATAGAGAAGTGGTTTTCTACTATACTCATCATAACTAGACTCCTCTGCAGCATTAACAAAGTGTTATCATAACTACAGTTATCAGGCAATYTCTTTACTTTTCCCATAGGCTCTKTCTAAAAGAACTTTTTGTAATCTTTGAAACACTCAACTTATTTTTTACTGCATTTGAACACTTTTAAGKGCTAATAGAATAGGAAAATTGAGCATCAAAAGCTTAGACAAGTCCTAAATGAAAATTCAAAGCCTTTCATTAAAAATGTGTAGACATTTTAAATAAAAGGTCATTGCGTATGAGGGTGCAATTCTGCTTTTCAGTATAATCATGTATCATGGTCTATTTATAAGATGCTAAAGAAAAATATGTTTGCTGAAAATAAGATGAAAATGTAAAATATTGACTTTTTCGCTGATGTTGAACATAATGAAATGTTATTTTAGAATTTCATTTATCAAATATAATCTCTTTGTTTTTTTGTATGTATCCAAATTTTGTTTGACATTAATAAATGTTAATATGTTGTAAACTAAGATAATTTTATTGTTTTTCTTGACCTTTTTTGAATTTATGAAAAGAATAAAGTGTATTGCCCTTGTCATCATGAAGACTGTCCTTTCACACTTCCGGTWCGCCGGATGTGACGCAGGCTAAYCARWAGAGTCTGGGTTTCCTGTGTAWGCTTTTCTGAGCCTGCGATAGTCTCCCTGTGCGTGAGCATGCGCAATAAATACACCGGCAGCCATTTTGAAGTTTTTGCTGTGTCACTTTGAAGAAAAACTTTCTTTTGAACACAAAATAAAGATAAAATTMGACAAAAATGGATAGAATTTTACGTTTAGGATCAGGAGGAATACCAGGAGTTGGTCAGGTAAGCAAAAATGTARCTTTGATTCTCATACTTTCTATAAACAAAGCGGTTTTGTCTCAAAGCTCTCAAAAAATTCTTTTAAAAAATGAAGTTTATCTCGTTGTAAATGTTTATTCCAATTTAAGTTTGATCCTAATTCTGAGATTCTCTTTAAGAGTATTAATTTTTCTATTTGTTGATGACATTAAACTTGGGAACTCCGTTTTTCAATCATGAATGAGACATCGTAGCTTGGAAAGGTTTTTGATGGACGAGAATTATAAGTTATCACTTTATAGAAAACAAAATTAAAATGAAACATTATGGTACCATCACTTCTCTTGGAGGCTGTTCATTGATATTGGTCTTCCAACCCAGCACCATAATAAGCACCCAACATCCCAGCTTGACAAGAGGCTTGCAATTCCAGTGAGCTTTTACACAATTTCTAAGAGGCTAAAATGTTGAACATATCTTGACCAGAACAAAAAGATATCATCTGAGCTAGTAGTCATGGTGGAACTAGAAACATCACATTATGAGACCATTTGATTCCATGTGAAATTTGTTTTAAACTTAAAAGTTTGCTTCTTGTTGGGCTTCCTGTGGTTGTTGCTTCGTTATTACRGAAAAACTGAGTAAAAAGCCCATATTTCATCATGATACTGGATCTTTTTTTTTTATTTGATAATTTAGGGAACACCAAGTGATGCTCCAGTGGTCGAYACAGCAGAACAAGTTTACATTTCATCATTAGCTTTGCTCAAGGTAAATAAGGATGAAATAACAATGTTTAGCAGCTGTGATATAAGATAGTGAAAACTAGTGTGAGCTGTGTCAGTGTTTCTAAAGAAGCAGGTGTGTAAAAAGATAAATTTAACACCGTAAAAAAGTAGGTGAATCAACTCGCTGATGTTTTAGACGTTAATCTATTGACGGAAGATTGTATAGTTTGGTAATTTAGTTTAGTTGTAGTTAAGTTTTTGTTGTGCAGAGTATAGCATACTAATTGTTATTTTTTTTTCTATTTTGCCTTGGAAACAGATGCTTAAACATGGTAAGTTTTGAATTCACAATTAATATCTATGGCCAGTGTTCAGCACTATCTAGTAGAAACATTCTTGATTGACAGCCGGCTATTGCTATAGTTGCAGTAGTGAAGTTTTATTTCAACTAGTCGCATAGCAAAGCAAACATTGGTAATAATTAACCATTAAAAAATATGTATCCATTTGTTTCATAGGTCGTGCTGGTGTTCCTATGGAAGTCATGGGTCTTATGCTGGGAGAGTTTGTTGATGACTATACTGTTAGAGTTATTGATGTCTTTGCAATGCCACAAAGTGGAACYGTAAGTTGATATATAATGATTATTAATACATTATATTGATTTATTAATTATTTGTATTTTTTATTATTAATTATTTATATTTTAAGGGAGTAAGCGTGGAAGCAGTTGATCCTGTTTTCCAGGCAAAAATGTTGGATATGCTCAAACAGACTGGGAGGTCAGTAAAAAAATATTGTATATTATAGCCAAATGTCACTGTAATCTGATAACTTAATTGTTAGAATGGTTAGCAATACATGTTGCACTGAAAAAACTGTTGGATTTCTGTTGAATTACAGTGCTCAGCCAATCATTACATGAACATTAACAACACATGTATGGATGATTGTTAATCTTTCAATATAAGCGTACATATGTACTTATAAATACAATCGTATGAGGAAGTAGCTGATCTTATAAATACATGTATCTTCCACGATCATATACTGTAAGAGAGTCGCTTGGTCCTCACATGATGGCTTTATGAGCAAATCATGTATGGATGATGGCAAGTATTACATATAATAATAAATAGGTATTAATGGTTGTTTTTATGGTGTTTTCAGACCAGAAATGGTTGTAGGATGGTATCATTCTCATCCAGGATTTGGTTGTTGGTTGTCAGGTGTTGATATYAACACACAGCAGGTACATCCATGATGTTGTCAAGTTTTTATGTAATTTTACAGTTTGAATTGTTACACAATAAATCCAGACTAAAGCCATAACTTGGAATTAGTAAAGAACTGAGAGTGAATGRTCTGAACCCTGCTTTAAGCGATATAGGTGTGATGTGATYGTCCAGGTATGAGAAGTCTTGAGAAAGACTGTYAGAAKGACCTGATGTTTCRAYATCCTGCRTRGAAGWCTTYACTCTGAAGATGACTTCCACACACAATGTCGAAACATCAGTTAATTCTAACAGTCTTTCTCAAGACTTCTCACTCCCAGATAATCATACTACACCTACATCAAAAAGAACTGTTGACAATCAAATAAAATGCTTTCCTATTTCAATTAATGGTTTAAAATGACACTATTTTTGATTGATAGCTTTTGTAGTCTATTAGTAGTCAATTTTTATTTATCTATCTATTAATTGCACGTCAATGCATGTCCATGTCTGAAATGTGGTCTTCCTTCAAATACAAGAATTTTGCAAAGAACTAATAGACATTAGTATAAACATACTAATGGTCTATCACTCATACTGCGCTGTGATTGGCTACTCTACTAATGGTCTAATTTGTGATAGACCACTCGCTGGAAAATCAAAATAAATAAGTTATAAATTATAAATTATTTTAAGGATATTTCAATTTGTTTTCATTATTTTACCGATTAGTATGTTTATACTAAAACAATTAGACCTCTCGGCCTCGTGGWCTACGAGCTAATAGCCCATTCGGCCTCGCGGACTCGGCCTCATGGGCTATTAGCTCATAGTCCACTCGACCTCGAGGTCTAATTGTTAAATAGGCTGTATTAATATTGTTTTTTATWATTTATCAGAGTTTTGAAGCCCTGTCAGACAGAGCAGTCGCTGTAGTTGTTGATCCCATACAAAGTGTCAAAGGAAAGGTAAAAATATCATAAATAAATAATTAATAATAATAAATTGATTCAGTGGTACTCTGCGAACAGAGCTACTTTTCTCACCCGCCGAGAAACGGGATATTTTGATGAATTGTTATTTTGATGAATGAATTGTTTCGATAATACTGATATTTTTTCTTTAAGGTTGTTATTGATGCATTCAGACTTATCAATCCAAACATGATGGTGCTTGGCCAGGAACCCAGACAGACCACATCAAATCTTGGACACTTACAGAAGCCATCCATTCAGGTATACTAATATACTTTTTGCAAGATCAGACAATATTGGTTTGGTACATAAATAATAAGGTTTAGGGCACATGAACCACAGTGAAAACCAACATATTTATACACTATAAGAACAATTAAAAGTGGTTTAAGAACACACACTATGATTGAAATTTCAGTATTTTACTATGTCCTGTAAATAAAAACACTTAGCCTAAAACATGAAATGTTCTTAAATATCATTTAGAAATTTTTGTATTATTTCATAAGTCCAAATAGTCATGAGGAAATTTACTAGTACTACATGCCATGAATTTAAATCGTYAATTGAAAGCTTTAAATGTTTTATGTTTTCTTTATAGGCAATGATTCATGGTCTCAACCGTCATTATTATTCCATTTCAATCAATTATCGAAAGAATGAATTAGAACAGAAGGTAGGAGTAGTGATTATCTATCATGACTGGAGCTATACTAGTTTACTAAATTGACTTTTGTTTCCTMAAGATGTTATTAAACTTACACAAGAAAACATGGATGGATGGTCTTACGCTRCAAGATTATAGCGACCACTGTTCAGTTAATGAAAATAAAGTTAAAGTAGGTTTATTAATGATAATKAATTTAACTTAAAATTATCGAAAATGTTTTCAAAAAAGTGCTCAACTTTGTCAAATGAATCATTCTACTCTTTAAGTACAATTTTATTTTTTTGATAATTAATTTATTAATGATCAAGATATAGTTAATCAAGTGATTAACTATTTATGACATTGACTGTTGAT